GTTGAGGATCGAACCCAGTGACTTGCACATGCAAGGCAAGCACTCTATACCACTGAGCTACAACCCCAGACCCAGTTCTTTTATTTATTTACTTTTTTTTTTGAGAGAGGGTCTCACTAAATTACTGAGGCTGAATTGGAACTTCGCAATCCTCCTGCCTCAGCCTCCCCCAGGTTAAGTAGTACTGGCTCCACACAAATTTTAAAAATAAAACAGTTAAATAAATCAAAGTCTACACCAACTATTAAGTCCTACAAATGTCCAAAATAGACATCATGCAGTCGTATTAGGGTCTTTAAAATATTTTTCCTCTTATTAATAAAGAGTAAAAGAGGACGTGTGCTGTCATTTAATGGAGGACCCTATTTAAAGGATAAAAAAAGGGGCTGGGGTTGTGGCTCAGCAGTAGAGTGCTTGCCTAGCATGTGCGGGGCCCTGGGTTCGATCCTYAGCACCACATAAAAATAAGTGAATGGAATAAAGGTATTTTGTCCAACTACAACAAATAAATAAAATAAAGGATAAAAAAAGATTCAGTCCTTGACATCAAAGAAAGTCATATGACAAAGTCCAACATTTTTCCTTTAGTTTTTCTCCCATCTTGAGTTACCAAGTTTCAAATCCAAGTAAAAACTCTCCTCCTTCTTCCTTTGCCCCAGGCTTCCTTGATGAATACCAGCTTATCCTAAAGTCTTACATCATGTCCCTACAGTATTAATGCATTCAGTTTACACTGTCTTCATCACGTTGTTCTCATAGTGTACTAGGACTGCCCAGAGATGTAGCTTAAAAAAAAAAAAAGTCACTGCACAAGGCAAGGAGTGGCGAGAWGAGAGGATAATCAAGTCAAAGTGGGAATTAAATCCCTATTATAGTCTATTCCTGGTACAGTAATGTGGCTGGTGAGATACCAAACAATAGTGATCAGATAACTCATGAAAAACTCTGGGATCCACAGGACTTCAATTTACACATTAAATACACTGCCATAAAAATGTCAAGTAATGACGGGTGTGGCAGTGTATGCTGGTAATCCCAGCAGCTGCAAGGATACCGAGTTCAAGGCCAGCCTCAGGAATTTAGCAAGRCCCTAGGCAACTTAATGAACCCTATCTCAAAATAAAAAACTAAAAGGGCTGGTGACTGGCTCCGCGGTTAAGTGTCCCTGGGTTCAATATGTGGTAACAAACTTTTTTTTTTATAACAAACTCCCCCCACACTTTTTTTTAATAACAAACTCCACTGTGAAACAATCTTTGCCACCCAATAACAAGTGTTGGCAAGGATGGCATAATTGGTGCATGCTGGTGGGAATTCAGTGGCGCTGCTACTGTGGAAGAGTCAGTCTGGCAGTTCCTCAAAGCCCCTGCACCGGTGTGATATCAGCTACTCTGTAATCCAGCTGCTAGGGAAGGTGAGGGAGGGTGGTCACAAATCCAAGGCCAGCCGTAGCAATTCAGAGAGGCCCTAAGCAACTTGGTGAGACACTGTCTCTAAATAAAACAGAAAAAAGGGGCGGGATGTGGCTGGGTTTAATCCTTAGTACCAAAAATAAATAAATGAATAAATAAGCGGGGATGGGGATATATCTCAATGTCCCTGGGTTCAACTACCAGTATCAAAACAAAACAAAAATGTAAAACATGGAGTTACCACATGACCCAACAACTACACTCCTCCATAAGTACCCAAGGGAACTGAAAACATGTCCATGCAAAAACTTGCACATGGCCAGACACGAAGGCCCACGCCTGTAATCCCAGTAGTTTAGGAGGCTAAGGTAGAAGGATAGTAAGTTCAAAGCCAGCCTCAGCAACCGGGAGGCACTAAGCAACTCAGTGAGACCCTGTCTCTAAATAAAATACAAAACAGGGCTGGAAATGTGGCTCAGTGGTCAGTGCCCCAGAGTCCGATCCCCAGTATCCCCTCCCCGAAAAAAACCTTGTAAATGAATGTTCGTAGCAGCATTATTCATAACAGCCCAAAAGCTCACTAAATTTTAGAAACTTACAAATACTGTGACAAATGTAGGCAGAAAGGTACACGGATGCTACTGAAGCCATCTGCAATAGCGACATGCAATACCTCAATCCCATCTATCACCACTGAATAAACCTCAGCACCACATAGAAACAAATGAATAAAATAAAGGAATTGTGGCCAATTACAACTAAAGAAAAAAATTTTWAAAAAGAGAAAGAAGTGTGGGCTGAGGTTGTGGCTCAGTGGTAGAGCGCTCATTTAGCATGTGTGAGGCACTGGGTTCAATCCTCAGCACCACATAAATAAATAAAATAAAATAAAGGCATTTATTTTAGTCCTTCTACAACTAAAAAATATTTTTTAAAGATTTTTTTCGRGCTGGGGATGTGGCTCAAGCGGTAGCGCGCTCGCCTGGCATGCGTGCGGCCCGGGTTCGATCCTCAGCACCACATACAAACAAAATGTTGTGTCCGCTGAAAACTAAAAAATAAATACATTTAAAAAAAAAAGATTTTTTCCCTCAATACCTTTATTTTATTTATTTTTATGTGGTGCTGAGGATCGAACCCAGGGTCTCGCACGTCCTAGGTGAGCGGTCTCTACCGCTGAGCCACATCCCCAGCCCCTAAAAAATATTAAAAAAAAAAAAAAGAACTGTTCTTACAGGTTCAGGTTCATTAGGATTTTCTATATGCATAGAAAACTGAAGGGGGAAATGACCAGGGAAGGGGAACGAGGTTTACCTATCTCATTTGATAATGCCTGGCTTTTTAGAAGTGTGAATGTGAATTAAAGTAAAAGATCAATCTGAACTCAGCACCCAAAGTGACCATAATTTGTCTTGTATATCAATCACACTGTTGATTTTCTAAGACGCCAGGATCATCACTGAAGGACACCTGGTGACATTCCAGGAAAAGCTGACCTTTACTCCTCAACAGCTATCTTACACTGGAGCACGACCCTTCCATTATCAGGGCTTGTAATCTAACAGTGCTTTCACTTTTTATAATGTACAAAATCACCTCACTACTCCACTTGCTGACATTTTCTGAAGTTAACTCCTCAACCACTGCCTCACAACAGCTACCCACTCCACATCTTATCTCCGAAGGAGGAAGATTTACTCCAATGACTTTGCTGTCAAAAATGTTTTTGCTGGGATGTAAATCGGAGTTGGAGAACTTGCCTAGAACATGCAGGCCCTGGGTCAGATCCCCAGCACAACAAAAAGCAAGCAAGACAAAAAACAAACAAACAAAAAAAAAAAACAACCCTTTCTGATTGAAAACCACCAAAACATTCATCAACAGGGTACTGTGGAAATATGTTATAAGTCATTTAAATCTACATATGCATTTAAGTTCATACACTTTTTATAGTTTTATTCTTTAAAACCATATACACTTTGACCTAAAAGGCAATTAAAATCGAATGAGGCAGCTTTGTATACACCAATACAAAACTATTGTTCAGCTAAGAAATACCGTGCAAGAGAGCAATGTGCAGAACACATTGTGGGTTCTGCTKCGTGGGTAAGGTACAGAATATACACATATGTATGCCTGTCTGGTCTATTTTTGGAAAGATTCACAAGAAACTAGCAACAGTAGTTGCTTTTAGAGGACATCCGACCCCCTGATGTGAGGCCAGCTTTTCTCTATACTCTCCTGAGCACCTTTAGAATTAAGTGTTCTGTGCCATATAAATGCATAGTTTGCCCTAAAAGTAAACAACAAGGCCATCAAAGGAAGATCCTTTTAAGAGGTATAGATAACAAAAGGCGGAGGAATGCTAAAAACGTTCCTGGCTCCACCCCCTCTTGGCAGGGCCCCCAGGAGTGCACACCAAGGAGACCTGGTTTCTCAGCCTGGGCGAGCTGGCTTTAGAACTGCAGTGCACCCTTATACCAAGGACCCGGGCAGGTGCCAGTTAAGAACAAGTAGGGGAACTCCCTTCCTCTTCCTTCCTCATTTCCACCAAACGCTGAAAAACTCGCCCCTCTACGTAGATCTCAGCTTTGTTTAAAGTGGATCTTAATTTCCAGACTGTCCACCTACTAGAATACACTTTCAATTAAATATCTGTGAACGTCTAAATACTTCCCAAATTCATGTTATCACCACCCCCACCCACCTGGTTTATCAAAGGCTAAGGGCGGGAAAGTTTACAGAAACCCGCAAGCCGTGGCTGGCACCGTCCGAGCCGCAGAGAACAAGCCTAGAGAATTCCCTCGGCACAGCTGCGCGGCCGCCACAGCATTTCAGAACCCCGCACCGCGCGGAATGCTTGGCAGGCGGCTTGGGGTCAGTCCTGGCCAACCTAAGAGCTGCCGGGTTGACTTMATTTAGTCCTCCACTGCAGAACCAGAACATGCCACCTCCACGAAGGCTGCTCTTCTACCTGCTGGGGCTGGCTGGGATTTCTCCGGAGTGACAACTTGGGCATTCAGCCTGCTGACTGGCTCAAAAGCATCAACGTGACACCTTCCTCCTGGAGGCCCAGCAGCGCGGGGCCGACACCCCTGGGAGGTGCGAGGAGCGCTCGAGTGCGCGCTGGGGGAGGGAGCGCGGACGGGGCAGGGGCTCTGCTGGCGGGCCTGGCGGGGACGCTGCCCAGCTCCCGGCCCTTGCTGGCGGAGGCAGCACGGCGCCAGGAGTCCTCGGGCTGGTCAGCGAGTTCAGACTGCTCTCGCAGCCCGGGACGCGGGATCAGCAAGAAGTCAGGAAAAGCCCGAGGGCAGCACTGCACGGTACAGGCGCCGAGCTGACGCCCGCAAATTGGAAAGGTGACCCTCGGTCCYTCGTGCAGGAGGAGGAGGGTGCGAAGCGGATAAAGTTACAGCCCGCGGCACACGCAGCTCGAAACTCGGGGTGGTGGGGCGCTCCCCGGAGACTGGACCCGAAGGGGGTGTGGCGGCCGCGGCTCCGACAGCGCACGGTGGAGGCGCCCCCGCAGCCGGCGCGGGAGGGCCGGGAAGCCGCGGGGGCCCGCCACGCGCTCGCGCACCGGCTCACCCGTGATGTCCAGGTACAGGTCATCCTGGAGGTCTAGGCGGTGCAGGTCCTGCGACGTGGAGCTCCGGCTCTTCTTCACGCTCGGCGAGGTCGACGAGCAGCGCCGCGAACAGGGGGGCGCGGCGGCCCAGCTCGGCCGCCGCTCGCTCTTTCGCTTCATGGAGGCGGCCGCGGCCCGTCAGGGGGCCACGACCATGGCCCCGCGCGCGCGCGCGCGCCGCCGAGGCCCCCGCCGGCCCGGAGCGGGCGCTCGGGGGGCGGGCGCGCAGCGGGGACGCGGAGCGCCGGCCGAGCCCGCGAGAGGCGGCCGCCCAGCAACCAGCGCGCGCTCCCCCGCGGCCGCCGCGGGACCCGCGCCGCAGCCCTCCCGCAGCGCCTCGGCCGCCGGCCCCCGCCCGCCCCCCGGTGTCCGCAGCCCGCGGGCGCACCGAGGCGACCGCGCTGCCGCCGGCGGCTGGGGCTGCCCGGGTCACCGCGCGCCCACCGCGGCCGCGGACGCTGCTGCCGAGGCGCCCGAGCACAGCGGGCCGCGGCTCCCGGGGACCCCAGGAGGGCTGCTCCGTGCAGCTTCATTCACAAAAAAGGGCCCACAACCCTCCTCGGGGCCCTCAACCGAGGCCTCTCATTGGCCAGGGCGGCGTGACGTCACGGAGACGGGGCCTTTCTACAGGCAGGTACCCGGTGACGCCATAAAGAAAAGTCTGAGCGGTTTCACCAATCAGAGAGAAGGTGTGCCCCCGACCCCTCGGGCTGCCCACCAACTTTTGTCTCGGTGTCCTGCGGGTGCCCGCATCCCGGCTCCTGGCTTCCTGCTGTGAGTCCCCGAGCCGGCGCGCCCTGCCCTGGAGACTCACGCCAGGTCTCTGGCATGCATACGTTTGAARTATTTCTGGGTTTTCCTGGTAATTCGCGCCAAGCGAAAGAGGCTCTGGCCTTGGCTGCCGGAGGGAAGAGTGGGGACTGCCCCAACTGTCCGCAGTTGAGAGGTCTTAAGGTGGAGTCCACCTCGGAACTTAACCTCTTCAACCAGCCCGGTGCTGTGGACCTGCGTACGCCCAGCGTCCAAAAGACCCCCGGGGGCCGCGGAGCTGACGGAACCGGGTGGGGACACGACGCACCTCGGGGTCTGCACCTCCAGCGCCTCATCCCGGGACCGGGACCGCCTTAACTCGGTGGTTTTCTACACGCTTGCCGTGGACGTCTGAGGTGTCCACAGGCCCGGTTATCCTGTGAAGCATTGCAGCAAGTTGCAAACTCAGTTCTTCAACTTTTTTCTTGCAAATTGTAGGGTCGCATCCCCTTCTTTTCCTTCTGGGTTAAAACACTGGCTGCTCTTTGGAACTTAACCGCGGTTCTCACTTTGGAGGGCCTTAAAACGAATGTCCGCGACAGCGTCCAACAGGGCGAGACTTCGGAAGGCAATCTTTCTAGAATCCGCGGCYCCAAGTTCTACATCCACAAGCCGTTCCTGTTTTCCACCCGCATTTTAACAGCTTCTCCGGCAGCTCAGCGATGACTGCCTGACTTTGGAAGAGAATAAGGTTTTCAGAGCGCGCTCCCGGGAAGCCTTTCAGAAATGTAGAYCTCCCCAGTGCCTCGGGGAGGGGCTACTTGACTTCTATTGTTGTGGATTTTCCCTAAAGTCCTGCTCAATGAGGAAGGAGGGGACTGAGCGACGGGTTTCCGCGGCCTGGAACCAGATCACGACTGCTTAATTTGTGTTTCTTAAGCTTAGTGCTCGGGTGCTTTTCCCCTGTTTCGCAGAAGGAAATAGTGAAGGCCTTAGATCTAAAATGGCCCAAGCGGTTTGCCTCAGGGGCCTGTGGAGCGCTGGGTTCCTGAGCCCTGGTGGGCTGAAACCTTGGGGTCACGGGCCTCTATTTTGGAGRCCTTTCATACTGTTCTAGGACTCGGTGGTAGAAAAGGCCTAGTGTCCCAGACAACCAGAAATTTTCAAAGAATAAGTCTTGGTTTGAATAGATAATACCTGGGAGTTATCCCGATGGCTCCCTAGAGTTGTGGAAATGCAGCATCCCACAGTGATCTGGTTTTTGAGAGTGGCTTACCTAAATGTCAAGCTAACACCGAGTGCTAACAAGCTCACTTAATGCCAGTTCATTTTCTCTCACTTTCAGTGTTTGGGCTAGACAGAATGCATGTGATTTAAAAAAAAGGAAAAGGTCATTAATTTAGTTATATCATGTAAATATTTTCACATTTTGCAAATATATAATTTTATGTTTTTTCCATATAATAAGTATCATCAAAAAACAAGGAATATTAGGTGCTGGGGTCTAGCTTAGTAGTAAGCACTCTCCAGCATGTAGGAGCCACTGGGTTACATCCCCAGTACTGGTCATAGTGGATAAACAAGATATATCAATTACATTTTGTGATTATGCAGCCGTATATTCTAGGAATACAAGTCCAATGCTAGGTGTATTTGGGGCTAGGATTGTGGCTCAGTGGTAGAGCGCTTGCCTAGCACCTGTGAGGCCCTGGGCACCACATAAAGATAAACAAAGATATTGTGTCCATCTTTTTAACTATTTTTAAAAATATTTCTTTTAAAAACGTTTTGGTACCAGGAATTGAACCCAGGGGCAATTTACCACTGAGCCACATCCGCAGCCCTTTTTATTTTTTATTTTGAGACGGGGTCTCACTAAATTGCTGAGGCTGAATTGAACCTACAATCCTCCTGCCTCAGCCTCCCAAGCAGCTGGGATTACAGGCATGGGCCACCAGGCCAGCTATTTATGAAAGTTTTAAGCCCTCTTTATATTTGTTCTTAGATCATGTTTAGATTCTGTCAGAAAAAGGGCTATTAACTATTTTGTGTGTGAAGACTTCTTGGAACAATTTAACTCCCCTCTTCAATAAGTTGACCTCTAGGCTGAGAATTTGATCACAGGAAATTTGAGTTTGTACTTTAGTAGTAGAATATTAGAGCCTGAAAGCACCCAGGACAATATGTGGTCCAAGGCTGCCCTTTCACAGTGAGCACCAGGGGACACAGATGCCAGGCCCAGAGGAGGCCCGAATGCCCTCTCCCAGTCTCTCTCCAGGAGTCCTCTTTCCAGGAGTTGTCTGAGCTTAGAGAACTGGCATCTGGTTGTGCTTCTCAATTCTCAACAGTATGGGCAACCAGCACCCTGAAAAGCAAGAGGAGGAGGAAGAGGGGGAGGGGCGAGGGGGAGGGGGAGGGGAGTTCTTTCAAATAACCCTATCCCAGCACTACACCAACAATACAAAAATTCCTGAGAGCAAGATGGAGCATCCTTCTTTATGTTTATTTCAGAATTCAGAATTTTTTTATTTTTCATATTTTTGTTATTAGGAGTTGAACCCAGGGATGCTTAACCACTTAGCCACATCCCCAGCCCTATTTTAAGTATTTTATTAGTGACAGGGTCTTGATGAGTTGATAAGTGCCTCACCAAATTGCTGACACTGGCTTTGAACTTACAATCCTCCTGCCTCAGCCTCCCAAGCCTTGGGATTACAGGCAAATTCAGAAAATTTGAAATCAAACATTAAAATTAGTAGAAAGTGGTTGATAGGTGATTTCAAATAATAGTCTAAATTTCAGAATCAGTGAGTGACACTTTAGTTATGTAAAGATAAATAATTTGTGTAAGGTGGACAGGTCCAGAGGCAGGCACAGGGGAAAGGGAGCAGAACCTCTTCACTATCGTATCTAAGAAGGCTTTGGGGCTGGGGCTGAGCTCAGCGGAAGAGTGCCTACCTGGCGTGCGCTGGGATTCAGTCCCCAGGACCACATGCACACAAGATTTGGTTTTCTTTCATTGGATACTGTAGTCCAAGCATTTATCTGAAGTCCTCATGTTCCTGTCCCAGAGGCTGAAAGTCTCTGAGCACTGGAAAGGGAGGGAAGGAAGGAATATTTGTTCAGCTTCAACCACATGCTGGGCCCTGTGAGTTTCATGCAAATTCTCTGTTAGGTGATATTCTCATTTTATAAATTGAGGGATCCTCATTTGACAGGTCAAGGTCAGGTCAAGGTCATTATCTCAGCTATCTAGTGTGATTTGGAATCCTTGTGACTCCAAAGTGTGGAAGGACAGGCACTATCGTCACAGGTGAGACTAACACAAAGGGCTCCTAGCTGGCCTTCTGAAAGGAAGTGACCTCTATACCTGCATAAATGTCAGAACGTCGGGTTGATTTCTTTGGATGTCAGACCGACCCTAATGAAGACTTTTTTTTTTTTTTTTTTTTTTTTTTGCAGTGCTGGGGTTCAAACCAGGGGCTTCATATGGCAAGAACTCTACCACTGAGGTATACCCCAGCCCTTTTCAWTTTATTTTGAGATAGGACACTTAGTTTCCCAGGCTGGTCTTAAATTTGTAATCCTCCTGCCTCAGCCTCCTGAATAGCTAGAATCACAGGCACCACCACACCCACCTAAAAACACGGCTTTTCAAAAAATAAACTAGTTCATATTGTGCATTTTATTCTGTGAACTGCTTTTCTCACTTTGTGTGGTGCTGTAGTTTAGATCTGAAATGTCCCCTGAAGGCCCTGGTGTGGAAGGATGGCCTTCAGACTCTGGTGCTCTTGGGAGGGGGTGGAACTTTAAGGTGGAGCCTCCTGGGAGAAAGTTAGGCCATTGGGGTTCCCTGGAAGGGTGACTTGGCCACAAGGGGAAGGGTACTCCCACCTTGGTGCACCAGTGTAGGCCCACAAMGGCAGGCCCAATGGACCGTGGACCAGAATCATGGACTGTGAGCTCAAGGAAACCTTTTCTCATCAGAAGTTAATTATCTCAGGTGTTTGTTACAGTGGTGGAAAGCTTACTCCCACAAATGGCATCTTTTGCGCTTCCAGCATTGTTAATACTGCATTTTGAAAATCATCCTATGTGTGGTAGTCTGGCTGGGCACAAATAACMGAGCCGCCACAAAGCCTTGTAGGTTCAAACAGCAATTCTTTATTCCCCAACTCTCACCGGCACTCTACACACACTTCCCGGGAATACACTCCCTCCACCCGGCTCCGCGAGCCAGTTCTCCCCGGAGCGAGGAGAACTCAACTGGAACTCCAAAGTAGAGGGCACCCGAGGCAGCAGGAGCCGCCCTATTCCCAGCAGGATCCGCCCTAATCCCGGAGCCCTATTCCAGGAGCAGGGTCACCTTTCAACCATTCCCTCTAGCAAAATGCCAGGTGTCATTCCGACTAAACTGTGGCTCTCAACACCTAAGTCCAATTTCACTCATTCTAATGTCTGCATAATTTTACCTTGTGCATTTCCCATAATTAATTTTCCGATGAATGGACACTAGGTTATACATGGACGGAGGTGGGGGAAGCACTATTATACAATAAACAATGCTGCCACAGATACCACAATACACACTGCCACTGGAGATGAAATTGTTGGATCAAAAGATAATCACTTTAAATTTTAACAGCAATAATATTTAAAGTTATACCCTCAAAATCACTAGAGAGACATACATATCTTCATGTTGCTTGGGATTGCACACATTAACCAATATTTTAAGTTTTAGAATAAAAAAAATTGTATCTGTTATTTTTAT